ATTTTTTAGAAAGTAGACAACAGTTGATCAGTGTACCTTGGAAGAAATATCGGGTGAAGATGTTTCAAAATTTGAATCCTCCTTTTGTCCTAATGTACGGCTCATGTCGAGATTTCTTCTATGACTGGGAGAGAAGCCAGCAGAGATTCTTTATTTTTGATTTCTGTGGAATATCAAGCCAAAATAACCAAAACGACATAATTTTAATAAACTGTTACATTTTTTGTGTAAATTTAACGGGACAGCGGTTATTATTGAAATTTCATAAGTAGTAAAATACAAATTTGATACCTATTTGTTCAAATTTTGTAAGCAATTATCGAATGTAATGTACTCTTTTATTGCGCTTTCTTGCAACATGTGCGCAAATATTCGCCATCTGCAATTCGACCATTTCAAAACAACGATAGCCACAAAAATTATCATAAAAATCATTTTAAAGAAAAATTGTAACGTTTTTTGGCAAATTTGATTTCAGGTTATGGTTGTTTATTTCCTGGACATCTATAAGCTATGCCATAAACCATATGTTACGCCATAAATAGTGTGTACATTATTCACCGATTGTCGGTTATATAAAGGAAAACTATTTTGTTTGAATGGACCCCGCGTCAGAAATATTTGGCATTAAATTCGATAAAATTGCCAAATAGCGTGTTCGGAACATGTTTTCCCGGCTATACATATCTTGGAAATTTCGGATAAATATCAGGTCATTGACATATCATGTTAAAATAGTCGCCAAACGATTCATTGCAAATATTTCAGTGTTTCAGTAATAAGACAATATGTAATATAGCATCAATAAATGCAAAAGGAATGTAATAAATGCATTGCTAATAAGGTGTGCCTAATCGGGCAAACAACGACATCAATACATAAGTGATTTACAGTATAGGCTCCTTAGAGGGATAATTTTGCCCGTGAGGGACGATTTTAGGAACAAGAAAATTACTTTTTACTAATACACAGATTCAAATGTCCAATTGATGGTTGATGCTAGTTAAGATATTATAAAATATTAGCTTTATTTAGAGTGCTTTAAACTAGGGGTGCTATGCAAACACAACGCAATCTATATTCGCAATTTCACGGGAAGATTTTCTTTTTCAATCTTTGAATGAGAGATTAAAAGCTGGGTAACCCCTGCCATAGACATTGGTATATACCAAAACTGTAATTTAAAGAGTTTCTAACAGTACTAAATGCACGTCATGGAATTTGTTGTCCAGTAACTCGTAATATTTCACTGACCCTGTTCCGTATTTGATGGATTTGAAATGATGTAATATTGAGTTAAATGACTTGCAGTTAACACGCAATCTCGCCAGGTTGATTTGGTAATCTGAATAATAAAAATATCGAGAAACGTTCTGTTGGATTAACTCATTGTTATGTTCATAGCACGCAAGAACAACTTATTACTGGCAAACAAGTTCACAACATTATTGACATCAGGACTTATCAATCCTTGTACTACATACCAACGCACAGAGTGAAACATTTTGAATAATCTATGATCATCAGCGATAATATTACAACATGTTTTTGAAGTGCGATTATTTAAAAGTAACTACTTTGACAAAAAGTGAGAAAAAATGTCGCTTGAACTAGATTTTTGTTTGATATTATGGGAATTTTTCATAAAGATTATGAACGGTTCAACTCAAAAGAGATAAATAGTATGTAGACAGATTAAGTAGGAAAACGAGCGAGCTGAATGGAGTTCAATGAAAAATACCTTGACGCCAGAATTCGCAACTTCTTCGTAGAAAACGACTATAGTTTCGACATCTTCTTCGCTGATTGCTTCTGGGTCTGACGTCAGCAATTGAATTTCTGCGAAAGCATCTTCGACTTCTTGTGACGAGGATGTGTTGACCTGACAACAAAACGTTATGCATAAATAATATATGGACTGAAGGTACCTTCTGCTAAATAAACGTGTATTCATCACAAGTTCGCACAAATCCACGTAATGGCATTTTCTAAAAGTCGGCAGCATTTTATGTAAAACAAAGGGTCCGAGAATGTCCACAATAAATTTTATATATTATTGGAAGTAGTAGCCTTACCGGTGCCTAGCATTTACGAAAGTAAATATTGCGGTATGAACGCGCGTATCGGTATCGGACAAGACCTAAAACAGCTTGGGAGTTTGCTGAATAGACCGACGGAAAAGCAATATAGAAACGATCCAGCAATACAGAATAAAAAGTAACCTCTTTCAGTAAAAATAAAACATAAAAATTATTGGTGAAACATCGCGTGTCATATTTCAAAACAAAATAAAATTGATTGTCTGCCATCGAGTTCTTGGATCGTTAAGTACTAAAATATGATTGGCCCAATGATTAAACCAAACCGCAACATTAACCAAAATAACGATTCATATGCATATTCCATTACCAATAATGATAGACTCACCGAGGCAGTAGTATTTGCTATTGTTGTATCGCAGTCTGTTTCCACAAACCCTTCAAATGTTGTAATATACTCTCCGGCAATGACGTAAATAGAGCAACTCAGTGACGCACGAGCTCGGCCTGAATACAAAACTATATTCTTATAAATGTACATAACTAACTTCCCTATTGCCTAGAAAACGTTATTATTATCACACAAATTCACACGAGATAAATAAAATACCTGAATCGCAAGTTTCTTGTGAATAAACAGTGTACTCTGGAAATCCTTCTGGAAAGCTGTAGCCGTTCATTTCGGTTGCATTGCAGTATGCTGAAACGTATTTGATACAAATTAACACTTACCGATCACATTTACTCATAAGTTGAAGGAACATGTTCAAAAACAAAGTCGCAAGTTTTCATCAACTCACCAAAAATCATTTCATTTTATATAATGAATCGATGATATTAGAGATACAAATCTATAATTAAAAATTACCATTTTCACAGCATGCCAAATTTATAATTTTCCAAGGTTCACAAATAGCTCAACTGAGAAATTTATTTATGGCAAATAATAGGATATTCGGTTTAGCGCAATGGAATATTTAATATAGCAGTAAAACTGGAATCCCTATTTCTAACAATTGTTGTTTGGTGAACCTTCCTCTAACGTAGAACAATTCTATTAATTGTGTTATAACTATGAAAGAATTTGTCTCCATTTTATTTGCTTTATGAAGATTGATTCTCATTAGCTGAAGAATGATATTTTCGAAATAGTGGTTTCCAGGTTTCGGCAAGCTTTCTCCGACTGCACGCGAGATATATTCACGATTAATATTTCACAAAAGTAACTGTGAGAACGACAAAATTACCGCATTTTTTGTACAGTTTTATTTTAATTATTCAATTTTTTAACTATATAAATGTCTAATAAATATTACTCATTTTAGATGGTACCGACATCGCTCAATAATGGGCAAAAATGGTTATATTTCCGATGAAAAAAACGCACGTAAAACTTTTTTTCAAAATAGGCAATCAGCAACGGACACATCTTATGTAAATTTAATGTGAAACATTATTACTTTATATCGCAGTCAATTTGAATCACGTCTAAATGCAATATATCAAACTATATGACATTACCAAAGATTTTAGTATGTACATCTACGTAACAATCACAAATTTAACATTTAAGAGAAAGCTTTAGTAATTTTAATTTCGCCATCACTTCGTCTTCAACCTAAAATTCGACGAATTCGAATAAAAAAAGTTGAGAATAATTCGCGTTCGAACAACCATCCGAATATAATATCTATATATTTTCAGAT